CAACCTTGCAAATTAACAATCGAGGGTCCTAAACCTCAGCAGGAAAGAACATCCTCAGTGAGTGGCGTCAACAGGCAGAAATTCTTCCTACGCTTTAACGAAATTGGAAAAGGGTCCCTTCAGCCAGAGCTCCTCAGGCCGCAATGCGTGCACGGGTAGAGGCCTCACTGAAATGCAGATTCTGACTCAGTGGGTCAGGTGGGGCTCACAACTCTGCATTTCTCAGCCCCCCCCACCCTGCTGAGGCTGCAGGTCCCAGAGACGATCTGAGGGGCAGGACCTCCAGCATCTCGCGCACCGCTGTGAACGATGCAAGACCAGCCGTCAAGGCCTGAGGCCTGAACCGAGTTTGCGGCGTGCTCCCCTTTCCGCTGCTGAGACGGCAACAGCAGAGTCAGATTCCCGGCTCCTCGGCCTCCGCTCTCACTCCAGGCCCCACCTGTGCTACAACTGTCACTGCTCGTTGTTTGCACTGTCAAGAACCAACAACGCGAGGCCAGAAAGAGGTGCGAGGGTGGGTCCGCATCCTAGCAGCTGCTTAAGGCTCAGCTGCCCGAGAGCGTCCCAAGGGCTGCGGGTAACTGAAACCTCCTGGCCTTGTACTGCCCCTAAGTCACTGCCAGCTAACAACCACCTCTGAAGGCCGCGGGAGCAAAGCCAGGGCCCTGAGCGGAGGAAAAGCGTGGCCGAAGCTCCCCAAGGGGGCCTCCGTGCACTGGGGTGGGGCGGGGACGCGAGGGGGCCAGCAGCTTGTGAGGCCTGGGGCCCTGGCCGGCGGCGCCCTGCGAGGGGCTCACCCTCCGGAGAAGACCTTCTCCACGTAGCCACGCATGAACTCGCGGGGCTCCAGCAGCTCCGCATCCTTGGCCGAGTCGGTGCTCTGGTTGGAGGAGACGGACTCGCTGGAAGAGCAGCGGCGGAACTGGCCCCACGACGGGTGCGAGGGCGACTCGCCCACATCGTTCTCGCTGTCGGCCGACTCTGTGCTCTCGCTCTCCGACGCGCCCTCGCCCGGGGAGCTGTCCCCGTCCTGCAGCTTTGGAGACAGCGTCTCCAGGGGCGAGGAGGTGGATGGCTTGGCCCCGGCCCCGAAGTCAATCAGAGAGCCCACGGGGACCGCGGGGGCCTCCATGGCTCGGGGGGGTGGGGGGCACTGCCAGCAAGGATGCCAGGCGGGGGCTGGTGCGCGAGGTTCCCAGGTGCGTCAGTGGGAGCCTGAGGCTGGGCGCACGTGAGCTGCTTGGGAGCTGCTGGCCACCGGGACTGAGTCCTCTGGGGTGGCCCACGGGGCCCTAAGGCATCTGGAATGGAAGCAGAGACACGTCGTCATCACCACGAGAGCTTCTCTTCATATAACGGGAAAGAATTAGGGCACGAATGCCCCGTAAGAGGCTCCAAACTTCCAGAATTTGGGCCACCTGTCTGCTGATGTCATCTTCCTACTGCCCACTTACTGTTAAACACCTGCTATATGGTGGGCAAACAATGAACAAACACACACCATCCATCAGGATTTCTCCAAACTAAGCAAGGAGACCTTGCAGGGGCTGCACCCCCCGGCCCTCTCCCGACTCTGGCCGATCAGACTGAGGCCAGTCAGAACAGAAATCACCGCAGATGGCCGTCTGCCGCCCACTCTTGCTGGGTCACCAACCACTGAAGACGGTGTCGTCAGGCACATGCTAAGCGCACGAGTCTCCAAGGCCCACGCCTCTTCCTTCCCGGGTTCCTTTCTTAGCATATTCCTACTCAAGACCCAGCACCTTCCTGGCTGTCGGATATATGTCCCCTCTCATCATCCCCCTAAACCCTCCCATGTTCTTTTTCTTTTCTTTTCTTTTTTAAGCACCTCACCAGACACAAGATCTGCTGGCACATTTTTTAAAATGATTTTCATTGTTTTTTGGCCGCACCGCGCGGCATGCGGGATCTTGGTTCCCCAGCCAGGGACTGAACCCACGCCCCCTGCAGTGGAAGCGCGGAGTCTTAACCACCGGATGGCCAGGGAAGTCCCCCCCTCTGATGGTTTCTAAGCAGCATTTGCCGTCGGACCCACCTCCTCCTCCCTCCCCCGTCCCTGCACTACGGCCACCCTGGGCAACGGCATCCACCTCTGGTGTCTGTTCCTCTGCCCCTTAAGCTGGACGGTCCTCTCCCTTCTCCCCCATCTTCCTCCCTCAGCCCCAACCGGAGTTGTATTCATCCCTCAAGGCTCGGCTTAGTGCCATCTCTTCTGCGAAGCTTCACTCAAACCCTGTGCAAACTATTTAGATTCCTGTGTGGCCCCACTGGCATTTTACTTACACTCATTTCTAAGTCTGCTTGTTTGATAGGTAGATGTGGGTATTTCTGTTTATCCCACTGAAGGACAATCCCCTGAGGGTTAGACCACGCCTCAGCCACCTTTGTAGCAATACGAGTGCCCAGCACAGAGTCCTAACTAAGTGTCCACTGGACGTTTGCTGAATGGATGACCAGACCTGACCGTGAACACGCTCTAAGAGTTGGGGAGTCAACAGTGTAGGCAGAGCTGGGATTAGGATCTTCGCTTCTAAACCAGTCTCCTGCTGGTCAGTTCAGGGGTCACCTGCCAATTCTGGGGCTCCCTCCCCCATGACGATGGGCAGACAGCTAAGCAGTAAGTTAAAGCCCTCCTGATGTAAGAATCCAACTTGATCCTGGGCACTGTCCCTATTCTCCACCTCACAGACCCCAGATATCCAGGACAACACCTGGCAGACAGGTGGCTGCCGATACTGTGAAACTAATGCATCTTCTGAGGGTAATTCAATGTCAAAGCTGCATTCACTGCCAGTTAAGAGCTTAATGTACACGAATCGATTACGGGCTCCTCCAAATTCCCCAGCCCGGGATATTTTTAGATGCCCTGAGTCAGAAGGATGGAATGGCTGGCTCCGTGTCACTGGAGTGGCAACGGCCCCCCTTCAGAGAGTCCTACAAAGCCCACCTTGGTCCAAAACAGAGACGCATACACCTCAGCTCAAAAGAACTTTCTGGGCCAGGAGAGCAAAAGGGAGTCTTAGGAGCTCAGGTGGCAACACAGACTAAGGAGTCTTGGGCCAGGGCCAGGGTAGCCCTGGCCCCTTCTCGCCAGCAGGGCCGGTGAGCTGTGGCCTCTGCTCTCTGGGCCAGAGTCCCCGTCAGACACTGAGGTCAGGTTAGATCTCTAAGGTCCTTCTGGCAACCACACTCACAGACTCTCCAAAGAACAGAAAATAACACCTATAATGACTCACCGGATATTAAAAATGGAAAATCACACACTAGGAAAATGTTTACAGCCACTATGATAGGAAAATTGAGTCAATCATATCTGTATGATAAATTCACCCAAATCCAACTAAAAATCTATATTCTAATAGATACACAAACTACTCAAATAGGCATGGCACACAAGAGGAAATATTATTATTGAGTGCTTAGACAATTATAACCACACATATAGATAGGCAAATCAAAACAATTAGGTACCTGCTTGTACTACGAAATAAGCAAAATTTTGAAAATTATAACCCCAAAGCAGATGAGATTAAGATAAAACTAATATTCTCAAACAATCCCGGCAACAGGGATAAATAAGACTTTAGAAAGCAATTTCTATAATTCTCATTTTTCTGTCCTCTGATCCAGGAATTCAAATGCTTGGAATTTATTCTGAGAAAATAATTCTAAACAGTCAAAAACAGTTATGTGGAGAAAAATGCTCACTACAACATTATTTATCGTCCTGAAAAATAGGGAAAAAAATCTAAATATAGTAAAGTGGCAAATATATTCTAACAACTTGATGTAATGGTAATCAGTGTATGATGCAATTAGAAAAATGCTCACTTTACAGTTAGGTAAACAAATATTCCACAGTCAACAAATATTTACTGAATCCTACTGCATGCCAACCTCTTGTTTTGGGTGCTAGAAATACTGAAGTGAATGAATTTTAATTATACTATAATTACAATCACATATACATATGAAAAAGGACTGAAAAAGGAGATAAAAATGTATTACGGTGCTGGCACCGAGGTAACCGCCCCTTTTTATTTTATTATCACTGACAGTGGAGTTTACAATCAATAAAAATTCAGAGGAAAAGGAAACAAGTTACTGTATCTTGCAACATTTCAGGGGGTTGGTCTGAAGGGCGGCATCTATTTACCAAAGCAGAACTTGACAGCACAGGAGGGGCAAGGTCAGACCCAATCGTTATGGCTATTTCTGGTCCGGCCCAAGGCACTCTCCCAGCGCCTTTCTAGCTTGGAAATTCGGGGAGTGCATGAGTCATCCTTTCCCAGAAGCCTCCTCTGTGGGCTCAGGAAGGAGCGGACAAGGTGAGGGGCCTGGCCCTGCAGGAGAAGCAGCAGAAGTGATGGGGGTCCCAGTCCTGCGCGCCATGTGGGCAGCATGGGCTGCAGAGTGCGGGTCCCTCTGCCCGGGATCTCATCTCTCAGCCAACCTTGCTCCCGGAGCTGAGATGCAGGTGAAGTGGCCACTCACGCTAAGGGCCTTGGAAGTGACCCCCACCCTCTTTCTCCAGGAAAGAAACATAATTATGGGCCTCTGTCCAGGAAAAGGTGATGGTCACTCTCAAGACACCAGGATCACACACCTCACTCGATTACCTGTGCTCTCCTAGCTGCAGAACACAGAGGAAGTGGGCCCAGTGGGGACTGAATGCACTGTCCCCGAGTAGGGCCAGCCAGCGGCTGCCACTCAGGATCGTGGGCCCAGCGGGATCAGATCCAAAGAGCTTTCTATAAAAGTGCTGAAATCCGCTTCATGAAATCTTCCAAGTCTTCAACACTGCCAACTAATTTAAATTTATTTCAAAACACATCATGGATCAAAGAGAACGTGTCTGCGTATTGCACCCAATCCCTCTGCTCTGGCCTGTGTACAAGGAGGTCCCCAGGCCCACTGCAGGGCCACAGGCTCTGAGACTCAGGGTTTTATTTATTTATTTATTTAGGCTGCACCAGGTCTTAGTTGCGGCGTGCATGCGGGATCTAGTTCCCCGACCAGGGATTGAACCCAGGCCCCCTGCATTGGGAGCTCGCATTCTTACCCACTGGGCCACCAGGGAAGTCCCCTAGACTCAGGGTTTTAAATCACAGCGGAATCTCTGCAAACAGACAGCGTGGATACTAAAAATGCTTTCTACAGACTTGCAGCCAAACAGACCTTCCTGCAACCGCATCTTTACAATTCATCTCTTAGGCCCTGTGGCAGAAGCTTCTACCAATCAAATTAGGCTAAAATTCTAAGTCAGCCCATGTCTCTGAGCGCTGAGAGGGGGCTCCTTCGGACTAGGGGTCAGGGAGGTAGATATCTGAGCTGAGATGGAGGGGGGGCTGGGCCAGCCGAGAAGGCTCGAGAAGGTTGGAGAAGGCTGTCTTCTGAGCAGAGGACAGGGGTCTGGGTGGAGGAACAGCCCACACAGAGGCCCTCGGCAGCCATGACTTCGGAAAGTTCAGGAACTGGGAAGGCTGAGGAGGGAGGAGGCTGGCAAGGGGGGCCAGGTGAGACACTAGGAGCCTCGACTGGGTTCTCAGGGTGATGGGCAGGCAGCCGTGGCAGCAGTTTGGAGAAGAGAACGAGCGCAAGGGGGCCAGGGAAGGTGGTCCCGGCCGGCGCATTCGGGGGGAGGTTTCCTGACCTCCTGCCCCGCCTCCCGCCCACATCCCCCCACCACGTGGCCCCAGCTGCGGCAGGAACTCGGAAGGAGATTGCCTTCTGTGGCTGCGGTGCCACATCCCCAGGGGCTTTGCTCAAACCCTGATTTCCCCAGCACCCGGGGCGCCCAGAGTGAGCCCTCCCCCAGCAGGCTGACCTTGGGCAATCACACAGGTTCCCGGGGCCGGGGGAGGCTCCGGAACCTTCTGGAACTCTGCCTCTGCCATCCGTCTCAGGCAGCTCCCTCTCCTTTACTGTCCCAGAGCCAACAGACTTGCTGCTCCTCCCACCAAAAGAAGAGACAGCAAGCCTCAATGGACCAGCACAGCCCACACGCTGGCTCAGGCTCCCTCCCGCCCCTCCTCTCACAGCATCAGAGAATGGAGGCGGGGGTGGGGAAG